ATTTTAGGTCGAGGAGGCGAAATCGATCATCGAAGAAATAAAATCGTTCGAAGGTGAAAGTAAGTAAAAATGAGTGTATGCGTGTGTGTAACGTGTTATATATTTTTCGATCGGTCGATTGTGCAGTGGAGAAGATGTAACGGAGCTCGCTCACGACCTTCTTTCCGCTCGTAGATCAATGTCGCGATTCACGCTCGATTTAACTAACGCGATCGTTAACCACGAACGACAATATCTATCCTATCCCCGCCACTTTTTATTATCCCTCACGTCAAACGTTTCTCCATCATCCTCGCGAAAATCGAAGCGTTACCGTTCTCCTCGATCGGCACGACTTTCAACTTAACTTCGCATCTAGATCGAAGATCATCTCTCCGAACGAATCGTTCAATCGAGATACTTTTTTTCATCCCATGGAATGGAGAAACTTCGCGTAACAAGAATTCACAAATTATTTCTTAGATTTCAGAAGTCGATCTAGGTATCCAATCTACAAATCGAGATATTTTCATTCATAAGATAAATCCATTTGTCCTAGATCTCTACGATTTCTAGGTCGAAAAAATTGGCAACACGAACGATCAAAATTACTTTTACAAAATTGTTTTGATATACATTCTCGTAATCTCGAAATTCGACTCGAAGAAAAATCAAAACAAATGAAACGTTACCTTTGATCCACAAATCTAGATATAAATAATCTGCAGAACCCTTGTCTAAAACTTTGCGAATATTTTTATACAAGGAAGGAAGGAGAGGGGTGAAAGGTTATCCACTTATCGTCGTTTCCACGATTTCGAGTTGCTTGTCTCCGCGCGGGCTCTGATGTATCGGGACCGGTTGCACGCGTCTCCGGTTTTCTTCTTCGCCAGAAACGTGACGCGAAAATTTATTTCGCCGGTTGACGCCCCCCGGGACAGGTCTCCTCGTTTCTCGACGCCCCGCTAAAAGCATTGTCCGTCTCATAGGTACCCTTATCGCGCCTCCTCGATCCTCCACGTTTACGAATTGGAACACGCCAACTCGAGGAAAAGGTTTGATAAATGGCCGGGGATAAATAAAGGCAGTGGACGAACCTCCCTTGCGGTGGATGAACTTCTCTTGGCCGCGAAGATCGTTTATGAAGTATTCGTTGAGGATGTTTAATTTGATACGTGGCTTGAAACGTATCGTTGGGACACGTGCAGGAATTTTTGTACTCGATCGAGAGAGAGGTAGAATTTCGTTCAAGATCGAGATAGAATTCGATAAAGCTACGTTGAGTCGTCGAGACGTAACATAAAATGATCTTTCCTAATAAAGGAATAAAGTTATTTTCACAATTAATACTTTTATCAATAAATCTATAAATATAAATCACTGGAGCGAGAAAATCATCGAGGCTTCCTCGGAATTCGGTAAATTTCACAATTTCGAATTTTCAATTTGCTCGCCTCGATAAAGGCAACGTGTATAATAACGAGTATCAAGCATGTATTTGCCGGCGTGCTAACTCAACCACGCCCTCTATCCGCACCACCTTTAACACGTTCCCCTCCGTGTATGTGAACATTTGGTATCGACGGCACGTACGGTGCCTGTTTGACGAATCGAAATGAACGGCGCGAAATGTTCGTTCCCGGTACAACCCATTCCCATGAGCAGGTGTGGAAAACGGGCGAGCAAGGTTGTCTCGAAAGGTTGGTTCAAGGTTGGTTGGTCGGTCGGTCGGTCGGCTGGCCGTTCCAGGGAGCGAAACACCGGCAGTGGCGCCAACCTGGCGGCTCTCTCTGCTCCACGCTCTCCTCTTGCACCGTGGAAATCGCGAGAACACCTAAAAATATCGCATCATCCGTTTGATTTTTATCTGAAACAACTCGTATCGTGGTCTGTTTGTGGGCTCGTTTCCTCCATGGAACGCCATGTGAACATCTCTGCGGGAGTTTAGCATGCTCGCATGTTTCGCGAGCGGTATATAAAGCGGATATATCCACGTAGAGCGTGTATCTTTTTTCTCGTCTTCGTCGATAGAGGTTCGAGAAGATGGAAGCGTTTAAAAAGTAGGAGGTAAATTTTTACAAATTCGTTTTTCAAATTTATACTCTTCGCTCTTCGAGAATGGTTACGCTTTTGCGTGGGTATTAGCATTGTAATGCGGATGACGTAAATGTATGCGTCATGGATTGGTTGAGAATAGTATGTGTATATATATTTAACTTTCCTTTTGCATGTGTTGTCATCGGTATAAACGGCCATCTTGGTTTTCATTCCAGTTTACTACTCGTCGTCGAGTATCAATATGTATCTAATATCGATATTGTATATATTGATTCTTAATGACTAGGGATTAATTAGTTTATATTTTAGTATAGAAAGGAATAAAAATGAAAATTTATGAAAATCATTCAATTCCTCGATTCGATTTAGGATAAAAAAGTTGTATATAAATGAAAGTGCAACAATTTTCTTTTCTTTCATCGTTCTCTCGATTTAAATATATATATATGTAACAAAATTAAAACTTTTCTTCGTGTTCAAACGTTCCAAGTGTGTACACGGCTTAAACGGTGTCAGCGCGCGGCAAAACGTTGTTTATCGCAGTAACTGTACCGATAATCTCGTCGATTTTACACAGAGAGAAAGAGAGAGAGAGAGAGAAAGAGAGAGGGGCAAGAAACTTGAAAATGTCCGGCGATAATTAGCCGGTTTGTCTCGGATGTTTTTCCTCTGCTAGGCTAAACGCACCGTTAGCAGCTACGATTTTTACGTTCCATCGTGGAAAATGTCGGTTGGAGCCTGTTGGAAAGTTCAGACGAGGAGGGAAAAAAGTTCGATGGCGGCGTCTCTCGAAAGCATAAGTTGATAAGATTGAGCTCTTTGAAGCGTTCTAAGAAAACTATATCATATAGCTAGTCTTGTATTCCGCAATCATGAATTAACCGGTCACTCTTCGTGGCCGACTGAGGATGAAATAAATGGCTCGTGTTGATTCAAATATCTCGGAGGATGTGCGAGAAGAAGAAACCGAAATTTATACGCGTGGATCAGAAAATCATTGTTCGCAGAAAGATGGATGAAATTTAGAAAAATTTACAAATTTTTGGAAACTAAATTTCGTTACTCGAAAATTTCGAGACTCGAGAGAATTTAAAAAGTTTCAGAATATTTCTGGAAATTTAAAAAATTTTTAAAATCAGAAAGATAGAAAAAATTTAAGAACTTTGTACCTCGAATCGTAGAAAAGTTTTTCGTTTAATCAAGTTCCTTCCCAAAATTCCACGAATGAAGATAACCACCGACACGGGAATCTACTTCACTTGTTTATCTTCTATTCGAAGTAGAACGAATCTCGCTGTTTTTTTCCTCGACAGATGCATCGATACCGCATTTTCCATCCTCGTCGAAAGTGTCGATCGATGAAATTCACATTGGTTGCTGGATACCCCGACGAGAAGATCGGAGGGTTGGCGATCGATAGGCTGGAACGCTCGAAGATAGGCAAAATCGCGTCGCGCGTTATCGGATCCAACGTTTTCCATCGTTTATTAATCCTGACTGCCGCAACTATCACGGTTGAAATATTCACCATTCACCTGGCTGCATTCTGAACCACTTGTACAAACGTTTGTGCTTCGCTGGAATTCACCGACTCCAAATTTAAAGTACGTTTGTGGTGTACGAATTTGTAATTACTTAATTTCAAACGGTTTGTTTTAAGAATTAAAACAAACGATCAAATTCGTCAAAATGACGAATTTCGTATTCTTTGTTTCACGATTATTGAAAACGTGAAAATGTTTTCGACAAAATTAAATTATTACAATTTATTGATACAATTATTGATATAATTACAATCATTTATATGTAAAATAAGTGCTTAGATATTGAATAAAAAGTTTCGACGATGAGAAATTCTGAGATTCGTTTGAAAAAAAGAAATAATATTTCACGAATCTAAACGAATTTAATACGAAAATAATTGTAAAATAATAATATCGGTGGATATCATCACTCTTTTTTCAAATAATAAAAAAAAGCAATAATAATTGGAATACGAATAAGAATCATCTCGTAATCGTACAATTGTTTGTTTTGATATTGCAGCAAATTTTTCTCCATAGCTGATAATCGCTCAAAATTGAACGTTATTTTCCGCGCGTTTAACAATTTTACGATACGAATTTTCCGCCCGATGTCAATTATCCTTCGACTATTGAATTCGTAAATCCGTGTCGCGCCGTAAATTTTCGAAAAATCATCGTCCAGCTACATCCAACCCTTATAAATTCATCGAATGACATGATAGATCGATAGTCGTGGCAACGATCTGCTCTCTGCACGAGAACATTAATCAAACTCGTATTAACTTTACCTGATTCTGAATTTTTACGAATTACGAAATGTTTAATGTTTTAATTCTCAAAACGATTCTGACCGTCTCGAATTGCAGACAATTGTTCGCAAATATTAAATTAGTTAAATATGAAATATATATATCTTCAATATTATCTAAAATATTTATTGCAAGCAATTATAAGCGATCAGGATATTGAATTGTCTCAACATTTTATTATTTGCACATGTGATTAAGAAATATTCTTCTAATTTTCCAAATCCTTTAAATGCAATTAAATACAATTACCTTAAGTATTTTTCAAAAAATAAACCAAAACTCATTAGAGGGAATATCTGATTCTGAAAATTATTTGTTTAATAAAAAAATGTGTCTCAAAAATGAGAGGAAACGAATTCGATACTAAACGATTACAATTACATACACACATTTACATTTCGTGCATCGAACCTGTCAATCCTGGCATCTCACATCATCCCTTTCCCTCAACCCCCAACGGTTTAACCACTCGTCACGCTCGATCGGGCGTAAGCCGTGTGGCTGTCGTCGAGGATAACTCTGCCTTAACGTAACGACTTCGTTCCCCTTTCTCGAGCCGAAAATCACGGTGAAACCGATCTCCCCCTCGTGAACACCCATCATCCTCACGTACTTGAACGTGTTCCAGGTCCGGCCGCTTGGACGAGGACGGGAAGGACGAGAAGCCACGTAGCCACGGTGGTTCCCTCGCCCGATCGGGGAAACGACGGATCTCACTCGCGGAAATCGGTGACGATGAGCTAGCGACACGACGATGAGGAGGATGAAGCAGCGAGCGCTGCTCGCCTGGCCATGGTTGTGGCTGTGGCT